ACGCTCCCGCCCCCACACACTCAACAACAAATCCATACCCATTTATTTAACACATACTCACACCTCTTCAAGCTTAAACTTTTCGCTGTAAAATATTGCAAGAATTAAGACGTTAAGGCAAAGAAAAAACTCTATTATTAATTCTTGAGATTTTTTCAAAATATTTGCTAGAATTCTCAGGAGGGCAACACCCGGTGCCGAGATGTCCTTCTCGGCAACAATAACCGAAATACATTGAATTAGATTAAAAGTACCATTATAAAAATTTTATTTATTTATTATCACACTAGCCGATTCCCACCAAGGCAGGGTGGCCCGAAAAAGAAAAACTTTCACCATCATTCACTCCATCACTGTCTTGCCAGAAGGGTGCTTTACACTACAGTTTTTAAACTGCAACATTAACACCCCTCCTTCAGAGTGCAGGCACTGTACTTCCCATCTCCAGGACTCAAGTCCGGCCTGCCGGTTTCCCTGAACCCCTTCATAAATGTTACTTTGCTCACACTCCAACAGCACGTCAAGTATTAAAAACCATTTGTCTCCATTCACTCCTATCAAACACGCTCACGCATGCCTGCTGGAAGTCCAAGCCCCTCGCACACAAAACCTCCTTTACCCCCTCCCTCCAACCTTTCCTAGGCCGACCCCTACCCCGCCTTCCTTCCACTACAGACTGATACACTCTTGAAGTCACTCTGTTTCGCTCCATTCTCTCTACATGTCCGAACCACCTCAACAACCCTTCCTCAGCCCTCTGGACAACAGTTTTGGTAATCCCGCACCTCCTAACTTCCAAACTACGAATTCTCTGCATTATATTCACACCACACATTGCCCTCAGACATGACATCTCCACTGCCTCCAGCCTTCTCCTCGCTGCAACATTCATCACCCATGCTTCACACCCATATAAGAGCGTTGGTAAAACTATACTCTCATACATTCCCCTCTTTGCCTCCAAGGACAAAGTTTTTGTCTCCACAGACTCCTAAGTGCACCACTCACCCTTTTCCCCTCATCAATTCTATGATTCACCTCATCTTTCACAGACCCATCCGCTGACACGTCCACTCCCAAATATCTGAATACATTCACCTCCTCCATACTCTCTCCCTCCAATCTTTCATCACCTAATCTTTTTGTTATCCTCATAACCTTACTCTTTCCTGTATTCACCTTTAATTTTCTTCTTTTGCACACCCTACCAAATTCATCCACCAATCTCTGCAACTTCAGAATCTTCAGAATCTCCCAAGAGCACAGTGTCATCAGCAAAGAGCAACTGTGACAACTCCCACTTTATGTGTGATTCTTTATAAAAAATGCGGAAAATAATGTGGAACAAATTGCACTTTCGTAATTTAAACACTCAAACACAAACACACGCACACACACGACAGAAAGAACAGACTCAGAAGTATCTCTGTTTGCAGATAATGTGAAGCTAATGAGGAGAATTCAATCAGGTGAGAATCATGCAGGATTACAAAGGATCTGGACAGGCAGGAAGCCTAGTCTGGCAACTGATCCTGGAGTTTAACTCCATGTGCAAAGTCATGACTATCGGGGAAGGGCATATAAGACAGTACAATCTAGGGGGGCCAAAATCTGCAAAACTCACTCAAGCAAAAGGTATCGTGGCGTGAGTATAATACCGAACACCTCTGAGGTGCACATCAGACATATAACTAGTGCAGGAAGGAATCGTTCAAATCTATACCCCATGTACATCAGGCCCATATTGGAGTATGCAACACCAGTTTGGAACGCACACCTGCTCAAGCACGTAAAGAAGCTAGAGAAAGTCCAAAGGTTTGCGACGAGACTAGTCCCGGAGCTAAGGGACATGTCCTTCGAGGAGAGGTTAAGGGAAATCGACCTGTCGACAGTGGAGGACAGCAGGTGTAGGGGAGACATGATAACAACATTTAAATACTGAGAGTAATTGACAAGGTGGACAGAGACAGGATGTTCCAGAGATGGGACACAACAACAAAAGGCCACAGTTAGAAGTTGAAGACTCAGATGAGTCTCAGGGATATTAGGAAGTATTTCTTCAGTCATAGAGTTGTCTGAAAGTAGAATAGTCTGGAAAGTAATATAGTGGAGGTAGGATCCTTACATATCTTCGAGGCTCGTGGAACAGGGAGAGAGTGGACCTAGTAGCAATCAGTGAAGAAACGGGGCCAGGAGCTATAAATCGACCCCTGCAACAATAATTAGGTGAGTATACATACACTCACAAAGTGGCGATTGCAATTATGTACAACCTTTTACTGAATTGCAGGAGACTTAGACAGGAGTACAATGAGAGCAACAGAGCAATGGTGGACACATTAGCTGAGATGACCAGAAGGGTTGACCTAATTTACTAATTATGGGGGATTTCATCTACAAAGAGAATGACTGAGAGAACCTGAAGCCAAATGGGGGACCAAGAAAGTGAAGAGCTTAGATGCTGGAGGCTGTACTGGAACACCTCATGTACCAACATGTT